GGGATGGTGTAAGTAAAGTCACAGAAATGGAAGGGATCCCAAAATGAATAGGACATAAAAAGTAATGTCATTTGTCTAGAATTATATAAAGAACAGTAATTTGAAATAAAGCTGGAAAGGTGGTTTGGAACCAAATTTTAGAAGGTTTTTGAGTTCTAAAATTATTTATTCCCTGTTGTTTACTGGATGATAGAGACCCATTGAAAGTTTTTAAGGAGTAATATGATCAGGGAAAACTTATCAGACATATATGGAATAGCTCTACTGAAGAAGAAAAAGACCTTATAAAAGACTTTTTGTATTAGTTGAGTCAGACATACACATGTGGATTTGCCCACTGATTGGACAGTGGGACCAAGGGAAGGAATTAAGAGTCAAAAGACTGCTTTAAAACTTTGTGCGTGGGTAATTCAGAGAATGATGGTACTGAAACAAATTAGGGGAGAAAGCCGATTTTTTGATAAAAGTTATGTTTTGTTTTAGAAATATTGGACCTGGGTGCTAGATAGACATCCGGGTGAAAATTTGGAAATTGTTAGTCTGGAACTCAGCAGAAATAGTCATGTTATGGCTAGACTTTTGGAAGATATGTCTTATGTCAGTGGATGAGATTGCTAAAGATGAAGCTATGGAAGGAAAGGAAAGTGAAGAAAGAGATTTAGGGAGGTCCCTTATTAAGGTAGCTAAATGAAGAGACACCAGGGCAAGAACAATAAGAAAAGCAGGAAAACCAGACAACTTTAGTGTCATGGAAACCAGTAGAAGTGCTTCAATAAGAAAGCAGTGATTATACTATGGGATTTTGCAGAAAGAGCAAGGCAGAAAGAAATTGAGAAAATGCTGTTGAGTTTAACCTGTAAATCATTGGAAGCCTTTGAGGGAATAATTTCAGTGTAATCATGGGGATCAAAAGCTAAATTTTAAGGAATTCAGGAGGAAGGAAGGAAGGAAGGAAGGAAGGAAAGGAAGGAAGTGAAGATAATATAGACAAGAGGTTTTTGCAACCAACATTCAACAGACAATACTCCAAAAAACAAGTTTTAAAAAAAAACCTCCCACAGGAAGATAAACCAGCCCATGTTCCTATTTGAGGTTGACACCTCTGGTCTAGACCATTCTTTTAAGAAGTTCAGCATTAGCAAGGAGAGAAAGGGTGTTGTGGTAGCACAAAATAAAAGTTGGCAATGAAAGTTTGTGTGTGTATGTTTGTGTGCCTGTGTAAGTATTTTTTGTTGTTTTAAACCCATAGTAAAATGGGCGTATGCAAATTAATTATTATTTTTTATTAATTTATTTTAAACTTAAATACTAAAACTTAAATGCCCAATAAGAAAAAGAAAAATTATTAACTTAAATACAAAATAATTAAACAGAAAAAAAGCATTGCCATGTGCAACAGTAGAATGTAAGAGAAGATTCAAAATATATAGCAATAAATTTCCATTTCAGGAAAACCTATATGATAAATACTACACATTGTGTTCAGAGCTTCCCATCTTTTTTTTTTTGCTTCATCTCAACTGTGCCCTTTTTACTTTGTTTTTCCTCGTTCCTCCCCCCATTTTTATTATTTCAAAAATTGTTTACCCCATAGCATCTCAAAATAATTAGAATAAATTTGAGCCTTAGTGCATTTGGAGATAATTTTAAGTTTTTTTACTTCAAAGGAAAGTAATTAAGTTTGATGTATCCTTTACTGACACAAGTGGTTGTTGTCATAAGTATAACTGCTATAGAATAACCATTGGATTCTGTGATTTTTAGGGAGCAATAAATATACAATATGAAACTGAATGTACCAAGTCTTTATTTCTTTACTTTGTAAGTATCATTCTAACACAACATCACTTAATTGTATTTAATTTTTTTATTGGAGTTGTACGTATGGTTCCTTGCCAGACATATTTGTTTACCATGATAATGTCTGAGTTGTATTGTGCCAGCTAATAAAGGGATTTTAGCCTTGAGTATTTTTATCATAATTACAGTGATTTGGATTAAATAAAAACAGCTATTTTTCTTAAAAATGCCACACTTCCATTGTCCTTATTCCAAATATCTTTTCAAAACCTTAATTCTTTCTAATATTTGAAAGAAAGCTATTTTAGTAAAAATACTAATATTTCTATTGCATTAGCATAGATCTGTTTTCTATTCTGTAAGAGCAATTAATTCATGACACTGAAGCATTGTAAAAAAAAAAATCGGGTGTGTGTGTGTGTGTGTGTGTGGCTCAGTTCCAAGCATGATTCACATTTTAGGCTATGATATCATCCTTAAATTTAAGTGCTTTGACAGAGAAATAAACACTTGGAGAAGTAGCAAAATAAAATGGGAAATGAAATAGGGGAAAGATAGAAAAATAATATTTTATTTCAAGCTTTTAAGAGTATCATGAATTCTGTGTGATTCAGAGTATGCTGTCATTAAAGTACAGTTTAAGAAAATCTTTGTCTTATTTTTGTTAACAATGCTAATTTTATTTAGAATGCACCTGTTTTCATTTTTATTATCACTTTAAGTAGATTGTCATCATGTTGTGTGTTTTTTTTAACTTCTATTTCAGAAATTGGAGATGCTGAAGCAAAAATTAACTTTTTCTGAAATTCAAATTTAGACCATGTCATACTTCTCTTAACTCTGTCTTGAACCAAGAGCAAGATACTAGTTGGGGGGAACATGGTAGCAATCTTATTGGTGTCGGTCACACACTATGAATGAACTGTACTTTACAGAAAAGAGAATGTAAGTGATAATCAGGACCTTCTCTAATTTTCTTCCTACTTCTTGTTCTAATTACCGTCAGTCTTTCTACCAAATAATTTTGCCATGGACACATTTGGATCGTGAGCTTTATAAATGACCTCAAAGATTCATTTTTCTTGTTCAGCTGGTTCATAGTTTGCTCTTCTCAGTTCTGTGACCACACAAATGTGCTATAGCTCTTTTGATAGAGCCTTTGGTATTGAGATGTAGATTGAGCCATAGGATCTATCTAAATCAACTTAAAACTGGGATATTTTATATCTAGTATGTCAGCCTAACACCCGTTCATTATGCATTATTTTTGGCTGCCTCATATGAGTGTACTGCTGTGATATTAGTGTCTCCTTAGAACAAGGTTTTGTTTTGTTTTTTTTTTAATCACCTTGGGTATCTAATATGGAATATTATACCTCAGTTTTAACAAAGCATTTGGTAAAGGCTTTCATGTTACTCTTGTGAAGAAAAAAAAGTGTGAACTAGATCAGAGGTGTCAAACATGCAGTCCCACTCACAACACGCCCTGGTGCCACCAAACCAGATTAAAATGTAATTGAGAAATATTTAACAAAATAAAATTTAAAAATACAATAGAAATTAGATAATGTTAATATGTGATTTTCTAAGTTAATATTCACCTATGGGTTTCTATTGAGTTTGACACTACTGGGTTAGATGACAGTACAGTTAAATATATCATAATTGTTTAGACTTAAACAGTAATCATGAAGTGTTCATTCTCAGCTTGGAAATTGTTAGCAGAGTGCCCGCAAGGGAGCTATGTTTGACTCTGTGCCATTATCAGTGCTGTTATCAGTGACTTAGATAAAGGTATAGATAGTACATTTATCAGATATTCATGTGGCAAAAGTTAGACAGATAGCTAATATGTATGAGAGAATTAAGAAATATCTTAAAATATGGCAAAAGTTAGAAAGATAGCTAATGTGTATGAGAGAATTAAGAAATATCTTGAAAGGGCAAAACATTGGAGTAAATTCTATAAGGTGAGATTTAGTAGAGATCAGTCAACCTCCCTAGTCAAGACATTGAAGATGTGGCTTGATATCTTTTCATCTGAAAAAGATCTGTGGATTTCAAGAATCACAGAATCTGATTTAAAAGAGATTTCAGAGGTTCTCTAAAACCAATAATCCCCTTTACCATTCCAGCAGGTAGTCGTCCAACATGTCCCTTTGTCTTCTGTCTGGTGTGTATAAGATCCATACAGATTCAAAATTTAGTTTGGAAGTGATTACAGTTCTTTTTTTCTGTCATTCTCAGTGTTTGAGCTGATTTGTCTAACCAGATATGATTACTTAAGCTAATGATATAAATACTGACTCATGTCCAGGGCTTAAACAGGAAGCTAGCCTAGTTAAAATCATTTGCTGATTTTTTTTTATTTTTAAAATATGCTTTATTGATGTTTCTTCTCTTTTTATCAATGTTCATTAAGTGAATTTAAGAAAAGTAAACCATAACCCACTTATTTTATTGTCTTGTTTTTTGTTTGGTTTTGTGTTTTGTTTTTCTAAGGGAGTTTGTGTTTGAAAGGAAAGTACTTGAGTTTTCTTTAAGAATTTGAAATGTTATTATGTGGAAGGAGGGCTTAATTAAAGTTCATTCTCCAAGTACAGAACTAGGGGAAGTTGGTGTAAGTTGCATAAAGGCAAATTTAGGCTTCATGTAGGGAGAAAATTCTTGGCAATTAGAGCTGTCAAAAAGCTTACATTTAACTTGGGAAGTTTCTGGTTCCGCATTACTAAAGAACTTCTGATATAATGGAAAGAGCATTGGGTATAGAATCAGAGGTTTCTGCTACTTACTACCTTTCTGTCAAATAACTTAAATCTCTAGCTCATCTATCAAGTGAGGAGACTGAACTAGATAAACTCAAAAATCCCTTCCAGTTCTAAATCCTGTGGTCATCTGTTGGGGATGTTATAGAGGGATATAGGTAGAACTAAAGGACCTCTGTTTTCCATTTCAACTCTGGGATTATCTGATCTTTTGATTATAAAGAAGTAGAGAGCATAGGGGATGGGATAATGAAAATGGGATTCATGCACATGTAGGTGGGAATTTTGTGGGCCTGTTTGATTTCTGAAAACAGGAAAATTTGCTCCCCATTTCAGAAACTCAAGGAATTTGAGATTATTCTCATTTTCTTAAAATTCATTTAAAACTTATCTTTGGTAGAATTAATTAAATATCTCTTTACATTTCTTTTATAGGCCATATACACCGATGAATGGAGGACTCTCCAATGTGTGGTTTGACAGATATAAAATATCAAATGATTGCCCAGAACACCTTGAATCTATTGACTCAATGTGCCAAGTACTTACAGATTTGATTGATGAAGAAGTAAAAAATGGCATAAAGAAGAATAGGATACTAGTTGGTAAGACATTCTAGTGTCAGTAATATATATATATATATGAAAGATATATTCACAAGTATCCAAAAATATACATTGAACTGTATTTGCAGTATTTTATTTAAGCAATTTATATATTTTTCTCAATAAAAATAATGTATAAATTAAGTTAAACTATACATATTTGTTTTCAGTTTAATTTTATAAATATTTTAGCATGACATAATTGAATTTTACTTTTACATGGTATTAGTATATATACTTTGAGGTAATAAAGTATGTTTTAAGAATACCAACAAATTTTTTTCTCAACAAATCATCTTTAGCTAGTAGATTATAAATTTCAAAACTTCTGGGAGAAATTCACATTTCTCTGAGTAATTATTTAAGCAAGTGCAAGACTGATTGACAGTTGCAATCCTTAAAAGGAATTAAAGTACAAAAGGGAACAATGTGAAATTTGTTAAAACTCAAGGCTCTTCAAAACTAGTAGCCTGCAGATATAGAATTTGGGCACTTTCATGTTAAACATGACTAAAATTTTTCATTCTTAAATTGATTTTGAAATAATTTGATATTAGATCTAATTTCTTTATCTGTAGCTATCAAAACCCTGAATTGTTGTGTTTCCCCCTTTTCAAATTAAATAAAACTGACAGGGAAAGAAATATTCTTGGTAAAAGCTAAGCTTGATTCTAAAGAAATTTGCAGTAGAAATAATCACAAGGAAAAGGAATGGCCCTCACTCCAATTTCAAGTAAGATTTTAAATACACAGAACATGTTTGAGACAAGGTTTTAGGGAATTTAGACAAATTGTGTTCATTGAGCTAGTAAAAGATGACAGTGCTTGTTAAGCTGCTTGAGGAAATTAGAGGTTTTCTTAAGTCAGAGTAGCATTTAAGTCATTGACGAGCAGGGGAGTCAGAATAATTAGAATTATGCACAAAATAGTATTCAATTTTGTGTTGTACATTTCTTGAAAATTTCTCCAAGTTATTAACTTAGTGGTAATAGTGTTCAGTATAGATAGTAATTTAGTTAAGGTGCATTTTTTAGCATATACTATGTGTAGGAAATTACTGTGTTTTATTCTGTGAGGGCAGAATAAATATCAATAATATGCCTCCCCCCATCAAATTCAATTAAATTTAACACATTTTTATTAAACTTTTACTATGTGCCATCCATTCAGTTACCTAGAACAGGATATATCATCATAGATAACTGTAATTCAGGGCAGATTAATAATGTGCTTAGGAGAGTTATGGGGTGCATTCTGAACATAGAGTGATAGATCCCAACCAAGGGCCTCAAGGAAAGCCGTCCCAGAGGTAGTTTTTGAGTTGGACCATGAAGAATGAGTATTGTGACTGTCAGATCTGAGCACAAAAGAGGGAATTTTATTCAGAAAGAACAGCAAGAACAAAACACAGAGGCAGTCCTAGTCAGAAGACAATGAGTACTCTTGGACTATGTAGGAGAGTAGGGAGAATATTAGATTAGAAAGATTAGTTGGGAACAGTTTGGATGGTATTAATTGCTGGGCTTAAGAAGTTAAACATTTTTCTGTAGGTAATAGGAACCAGTGTGGAGACTTCATTGATAGAAATTGATGACTCTTGGGATGTGGGGAAATGTAGAGGGAGAAGTTAAATCCTGTTTGACTTAGAGAATATTTTAAGAACCTTTAGAGTTCATTGGTTTGGGTTAGCCCCTCTCCTTATACAGATAGAGTGGTTGTAGTTGAAAATAAATAAATAAAAATTCAACATCCTGTCAGCAATATATTAGACATATTCTATAGAACCTCTTAGACATACTCCTCATAAAATAGGCACACAGTTTGTTACCAGTTTTACACTTAAAGCCTTTCCAGCTCAGTTGGACCTGCCAGAGGTTTTCTTCTCCTGGTTTATCCTCTGAGCATCCAAGATCACCTCTATGCCTTGATAAAGCATTTAAGAAAGAACAGCAGCCAAATTAGAAGAATGCCAAGCTTTGAGAATCTAATCTGATCACACTTTCCTTCAACAAACATTTTTTAAACACCTCAGTTCCACCTGGACTCATAATAACCCTAGTCTTCAGTGTAGTGGGCTGTCATTGCAAGATGAGGATGATAGTGAGTTGCTTGATGAAATGGCTCTTTTTCTTCACTGTGCCCTATAGTCCCACTGCTGTAAAAATTACTTTAATTATTCAAACAGTGGATCTTTTGGTTTCACAGATTTTCCTTCCATTGAATCTCTCTCTCTCTCTCTCTCTCTCTCTCTCTCTCTCTCTCTCTCTCTCTCTCTCTCTCTCTCTCTCTCTTTTTTTTGCCTAGGCAATGGGGGTTAAGTGACTTGCCCAGGGTCACACAGCTAGTACATGTTATGTGCCTGAGGCCTGATTTGAACTCAAGTCCTCCCAAATCCAGTGCCGGTGCCTCCCATTGAATCTGAAAGGGCTTCAGTTCATATAAGATTTCTTGACCACACTATTCACTTCATTTGGGGTCTAAATTCAGTTGTCCCCTCTGTGCCGTTACCAATATAATATGCAGATGAATTGTATTAATAATACTCCTAGAACATTCTCTGTGATACCATACTACATGATACCAGGGCAATTGAACTACAGTGCTTTACTGCTTTACACTGGTAGAATTCTACCAAGATAACTTTGTATCTCCACCAAGAAAATACTCTTCGAACTATAGATGGATTCTAGGTTCACTTTAACATCTGCCAATAGGACCATAGTCCTGGCACTGGATAATTACATAGAAGAAACCACTCAAGCACATGTGCAGGCTACCCTAGAAGCTTTTTTTTTTTTGCTTTAACTTCATTTTTAATAAAGTCTCCTCCCTGGTAGTAAGAATTGGAACAGCACTTAAGATCTAGTGAAACTTAAGATATTTTTCACCATTCGGAGAATAGAAAATGCCATATGCAAAAACAACGTGACTTCAAAAGGTAGAGCTAAATGGCAAAGTGTTATTTTGTGATTGCCTTTTTTCTTGACTTATTTTTGTAAGTATTGCTATAGTGTGTTTTTTATATGTGATTGTAAAGTATATTTCTTGTTTTTGTATCAGATTGTAAATTACATTTCTCATCTCCTACCATCCGTTATCTAAGAAAAAAATTTTAGCAAAAGTAACTGACATCAGCCAAGTCCAACATTATATATAATGTTCCATACCCATAGTACTACATTTTTGCAAAGAAGGGATGGAGGTGCATTCTCACAAATCGTCTTTGGATTTAAGCTTGTTCATCATAATTTCAGTGTTTGGTTTCAATTATTTTTGGAATTATTTTGAATATTGAATAAATGAATGATGAATTAATGAATGAAGCATTCATTAAGCACTGAGGATACAAATAGGAAAGTAAAACAATGCTTCCTCTCCAGGAGTTTACAGTTAGTAATGGGGAAAAAATTCAACTGGAAGTCAGAAAGGTCCCATGGTCCTTAGGATGTAGCAGCAAAGCAAACTGAATGTCTCTTTGTTAATGTCATTTCCACTGATAAAATCCTGTCAGTTTCTGATGTTGAACTATTTGATAGTCTCAAGGACTTTGGTAGTAAGAACTAACTATAGCACCTGTAGGAATACTTGGTAGGTTATATCTCCATAGGATTTTCTTCCCAGAATGATGGCTGAGGGCACTGGGCTGGAAGCATTGCCAGTCCCAACGCTCTTGGGTACAGGATTCTAGGCTCTCCATCAGAGTTTGCGGGAGTAGTGTGGTCAGAGTAATGGTGGTAGTGGTGTGACTTGCGTGACATGTGTTTCCTCCTGCCTCTCCCTCAGGGTGTCTTGCTACTTTACCTAGTCTGGCTTGCCTGTGTCTGTGAGTGGAATTTGGTGGGGATGGCTCCCCCCTCTTCACAGGAGTTGCTTACCCTGATGATGGCTGTTAGTGCTGGGCTAGAAGCAGTACTGGTGGTCTTTGTTATGTTGCAACTCCAGGACTCTTGTGCCTGTCTACCTTTTGGTAGCAGTTAATCTGCGGTTGTCTCTGATGATGATGAGGAAGGAGGGCCCCTTCTCCACAGGGACTTCTCTTTTCAGTGGTGGCTACAGGGTCCATGTTGGAAGTAGGTCTGATAGTTTGGGAGACACTGCTGTTCCCAAGGCTCTTAGATTAAGGGTCCTTGACTGTCTCCATGAGGATTTTAGGGGAGATAGTAGTCCTGGTGGTGGTTTGACTTGCCTGTCACGTGCTTCCTCCTCTCTTTAAGGGTGCCTTGCTGCTTCTTTCTTGTTGTTTTCCCAATTCTGCTTGCTTTACTTTGTATCTGTTCATATAAGCCTTTCCATATTTTTTTTGGATAGCATTTATTATGGTGCATTATGTACCACACCTTGCTTAACCATTCTCCAATCAGTGGGCATCTATTTTGTTTCTCATTCTTTGTTGCTTTAAGAAAAATTGTGCTCTAGGTATTTTGGTGTATGTGGGACATTGGATGGGGCAGTATTATATAGTTCAGAGTTTCTTAACCTTCTTATACCCCCTATTCAGTATGAAATTAGAAAGAAAATAACATTCTAGAGTTTATCATACATATATACTTGAGATTTAAACTAGATTAATTTTTTTTAGACATTGCTTTAAAAAAAAAGACTATTATAGCCTGTATGTGACAAGCTGTGATAGTAAAAGTGTCTTAGGCTGACAGTCTTAACCACAGTTGTATCATTTATCATAGGCAACTGCACCCCCTTTCTTTCTTTCTAGTGTGATTCTTTCGTATTCAACCTATCCTCATCCTGTCAGGTAGGGAATTTTTCTGTCTCTCAGCAAATGAAATGTCCATATACAAAATAGTTCTTCATGCTGTCAAAAAATTGTTAAATGTTTATCAGAACAAAGTTAAATAAATTACTGAGATTTTTGATTCTGTTTCTTGTCAACCAGTAGTTTTATTCTAGATTTACTTTTTGCTTTGGATTTAAGGACTAAGAATCCTAATTCTTAGAGATAAGTTGTTATAAATGAAAGTAAAGTCTATGGGCACATTTAG